CGAGGGTGGACGAGCCACATTATATACGGCGGGACCACTACCTCTCCAGATACTGCGCCGCGACTTGAAGCAGTCGAGTATCTATTCACACCACAACAGAGTGCCTGCTGTCGGCATTGCGCAGACTGTACGCAGAAGGTCCGCGCTGGAGCGCAGTACTGAGCGTCAAGTCTGTATGCGCATCGACGACCAAGTTTATCGGTGGATGGACTGAACATGCGCAGCAGACGAGTCAGACCTACACTGCGCGGCGACTGCGAGTAGTGGCGCGTACTGACGCGGGGATTGTACGACAATCATCAACCACCTCAGGGAACATGTATGTAGTATCATCCCAGTCTAGCTTTTGGTTTGTATCTAAGTATATCAACATGCTATTCACCGGGTAACAACAGTAGGATCCGTGGAATAAGTACAAGGGGTAGAGACCTGGCGAATGAACAACACGGTCGGGACGCGAACGCGAGACTACAGCCTGTATCACGACAGGCGCACGGGTGATGTACAGTAAAAGGGGGGTCCAGTCTAGAGACGATGTAGCAAAACGATTGGATAATGTGGCAATGGACGTCAAACATGTGGGTACGGATGGAGGGATCGCGGGTGAGGATGTGGGCAGGGAGGACGAGCGTATTCACGCAACCTCAATGATGGTGGTGACCTGAGGACCAAGCTGAGGGCCGATGTTAATGTGCTCGACGACCTCGATGGGGCCAGGCGGGCAGGGCCGCAAGCCAGCCGCGCATGCAAAGTTCGTCGACTGCGTGGGCTGGATTGTGACGCCGCACATCTTGCTCGCGTGATCGGCAAGCATGATCCCGTAGCGCATCGCGAGCGGCACACGCTCGCCAGCCTTATACAGCGCATTCCTAATGGAGTGTTCAGCAAAGAGTCACGAGAGATCAACCGGGTGCACATACGTGATGTATTCAACATCAGCACCGAACGCGCGCACTTGTTCGTGCGCCTGTGCAATGATCGCCGCTTGCCAGAAGCGTGTGAGCGAGCGACCAGCAATGTACCAAGCGTACGAGCAGAAGTAGTCGAGCAGGCCAAGGTCGAAGCTCGTAGACTCTGCCTCGCACAGCAGCTCGAGTATGGCACGCGATGCACGCAACAAGTTTGCCGCTGATTGACAGGTCGTGCGCTCGACATATGCATGAGGATCGTGCAAGATGATGAGGGCAACATGTGGGACAAGGCACGCGACGTAGAGGTGCGAATCAATCGTGCCGTTCGCCATCGGATTGCGAAGGTGCAGTGGGAAGCTCGAGCGGAACTCCTCGAGATTGCGCTGAATGTCAAGGAAGGCAGCCGTCCGCCGAGGGTCGAAATTGCCAGGTGTCGAGTCGTTGTCGGTCAGCGTACCCTCCCAGAGTAGCTTGTAGCTGGGGGTGTACGAGCATGAGACATCGCCGTTATACTTGCGGGCAGCGTAGCGGATGTTGAAGTTCTTCGCGCGTGACAGCAGGATTGTCGACTTAATGAAGAGGCTGAAACCATCAACCTGGTCGGGGTTGTGGTTCAGGAGTAGGTCCTTCGTATGCGGGTGTTCGCGCTCGTTCGCAGCCGGCCACGAGACCTGGAGGATATTTCAGTACAAGTTCAAGGCACTCCATGCACAGCGCACTCACACCGAGGGAGAAGCTCATCTGGTTGACGGGCAGTAATTGCGACACGTCGAGGTCGTCAATAGACAAAGGCCATCCATTGCCGCATCCATTCAGACGCTCAAGGGCATACGCCAACCAGAAGATGTTGCGACGAAGCTCCGCCTCAATGTCGTTATCAGGTGGCGGCAGAAGCGTCGGTGTCTCAAGGCCGTCCGCAATGGGTTTGAATAGCCTGGAGACGTGTAGGCCCAAAGGAAGACATGCGCGCATAATGGAAGCCACGATCATGTATACTTCAACCCATTTGGCGTTACACCAGTACCACCAAGCCACGAGAATCTGCGCCTGTTGCGATTGAAGGAGATGCTGGCCCATTGCAACGTTCTCCTCGACTTCTCGCTTGGCGATCTTGATGTGTGTTTCCGTGAAGTTTGCCGAATAGCTGCCGTTCTTATACATGTCCTCTGCATCGAAGTCAGCATAAGGCTTAAGGAGCTGGGCATCAAGCAGACTGACCGCCAGACACGCTGCTCAGACCAGGCGAGTCGGCTTGGGCCACAGCAGCCGTGTACATGCTACCGATACCACAGATCGCGTGCAGGACGGCAGTGGTCGGGAAGCTCGGATGTGAAGGCGGGTATGTGAGGGACGTCATGAACGATGGCTGGTGGAAGAGTCGTGTAGCGTGTGGATGATGTGCGAAGAAGCACTCGATGCTGTGAACCATACATTCAGAAAAGGGACGGAACGGGATCGACACAGCACATACAGGTGGCGCATCAATCCAGGCGACGGTAAACTGCGCGGCCAGGAGTGGTAGGTCAGGCTCCGGTCACTGAGTGATGGACTGGATATTGAGCTGATGGCTGACGGGAGTCCGGCGCTAGCACCGCCGTTCATGAGGAAGCTTTCCACAGACGGGGACGCGTGCGATGAATGGAACGGCGTGCCATCCAAGATCATGCCATTGGTACCATAGTCGTGACCGTAATCTACGTACTTCTCGTTAGCCGACGGTCACTTCTGCTAGTCGTTTCAACTTACCGGGTGGACTTGTCTGTGTGACCAGCATGGACTCAAGGTCGCTCATGGCTATATATGTCAACATCAGTCGAGTTCCGTCTCGCCGAAGTATATACTCACGTAGCCTGGTGTCCAGCTTCTCATAACGTGGCTTTGACGGCTCTGGGGGAGGGGGAGGCGCAGCTAGCTTCTGATTCAGAGATATGTGTGGTGGATTCGTCATTGAAACTCACGATCGTCGTACGTGCAGTCAGGCGTCTCGGGGAGAAAGACGCCAGGCTGTGGATGTGCTTTGGCGTGGGCGAGGGAACGGAGACAGGTCGAGCAAGGCCGCTTTGCATCACTATATCGCGACGTTTAACGTCCATGATCATCATGCATGAGACAGAGTGCGCGTACCATTTCTAGAAAGGCGAGCATAGAGCGATGATCAGAACCCATGTCCGCGATACTGCACATCTCATAACGTACCAACTTGCGCCTGGAGGATGTGTGCGTTCAGCACGGGTTTCGTACAATGAGCGGATATGAAGACTGACTTTCGACATTGATGGCAGGCCTTCGCGATGCGTGTCATTAGCTGGATGTGACACCTCCATGCGAGGCGGAAGGCATACCTGGTTGCGCTGAAATAACACGTTAGTATCACACCAAAGCGTGGAAACGGTGTCGTTAATGCTCACCTTCAAGGTCTGTGGACTAGGCGTATAGCCGCTGCTACTCGAGGCGACGGATGGCGCCGCAAGAGGGTCGTGAGGCGACGAGTGGCTCTTCTCAATGGTGACCTTGGGCATCTTGGCAAAGTAGGAGGGAGAAGACTTCGCGGCTATCAAGGGTTAAACGGGATCCGGGCAAAGACCGTTTGACGAGTTGACGAGTAAGTCGCCGGGAGCTCGCAGAACCTGCAGGGAGGGGAGGCCGGGGAAGGGTCGAGGAGTGCCTCGGTCATCGGGCTTATGTATATGAGCTCGCGTCTACCGCCAGGGCGGAGCCGTAGCACCGGCGCCCCGTGTATCTCAAACAGCATTCCCTTCCCTCCTCCCTTCCGTGAAGCGGTCTCGACTCTTACTCGTCGTCTGCGCACATCAGTACGAGCCACCATGACGAAACGTACCACCTGTTCTCCTCGCAGACGCTCTCATCGCTGGCACAAGCGTCCTTCGACTCTCTCTCGAAGTAATCGGCGGATGTACGGAGGAATCAACTCAATAAACGAGGATCTGATCGGCATACTCGAACCGGCGT